AATATTTGAGACACTGGGTAATACTTACGTTTTGGTTTTGGTGGTATTAATTTGATGCCTCCTTTCTTCTCTTCACTTGGAGGTGTAGTTGGTGAATCCAATGACAACTTAGCTCGTTTTTCTGCTGTTGGAATAGCTTCCCTCAGTGGAGATGGCCTTTTCAAAACTGGTAATTTTTGAGGTATGACCTTTTTATCAATTATAGGATTTGGTTTCTTTGCTGATCTGGGTGGTGGAGGTTTTACTTCCTCCTCCAAACCTGTTGATCTGAATTTAGAGTTAAATGTTTTCACAGTCTTTGGCCGTGTTGTAGCATCCTGAGAATTCTTCCTACTCTCAATGGAAATAGAAATGTTCTTCTTCTCTGGCATTCCAATAACTTTCTTTGAATCAGTCTTATTTTCTTTCGAACTATCCCGAGAGTCCGTCGACGACTTTCTTACAGCTGCATCGCCTGACTTTTCTTCTTCTGCTTTCTTTTTGGGTATTTTTCCCAATTTTGAACTCAGTGCTTGCCCTTGGACCTTTTCCAAAGTTGCTTTATCCTTTTCAGCCTGGTCCTTCTTCTGTTTTTCTTTTTCTCGTTCTTTATCCGATTTACTTTTACTAGAACTATGTTTACTGGATGAGTTAGATGAATGGTGCTTTTCCTTGTCCTTGGAAGACTTGTCCTTGGAACTAGAACTTTTTGAACTACTGCTAGAACTAGAACGATGACTACTAGATTTGTAAGATGTGGAACTAGAACGATGTGAACTGGAACTTGAGGTATGTTTAGAAGAACTTTTGGAGGATGAAGATGAACTGTGATGACTTTTTTTATCTGAACTAGTAGATTTTTTCTCATCCTTCTTAGAAGAGTCCCGATTTTCCTTATTACTAGATTTACTACTTTCACTACTAACATTATCTTTAAGATCTTTAATGTCTTTATTTTCTTTATTTTTAACTTCCACATCAGGAATATCTGTGAAATCTACTACAGTCTGTTTCACTTCACTTGAAACCTGGTCTAAGTTTTCAGATTGTGCAATGTCTGTTTCACAATCTTGACCACTGACTACACCATCACTAAATTCTGCAGATACTGCTTCCTCAGGAGTTTGCTTCACAGGAAGAGTATCATCCACAACATCTCCATTGACCTCTACATTTGTACTATTCGTATTCAAAACACTATTAATATTTGCAGCATCTGTCTCCACTTTTGTAAGAATCTGTTTGCCTTCACGAATTGTAATTTTATACACAGGAACTGGAGATTGTGAAGATGTAGATACCACAACAAAAGCTGGCTTTTTTGATTGCTGTGATGATAATTGCTGTTGTATTTGCACCTGCTGTGGCTTACTAACAACTTGCAATTGTAAAGGTTGTATAGTTGCCCTCTCTTGTAGTTGCTGTTGTTCTTGCGATTGTTGTTGCTGCTGCTGTTGTTGAATGTGAGATACTGCAATAGTTGATGTGGAGTTTGGAATAAATTGCAAATCTTGCACCTGAACTGTTGCATTTTCTGAACCATCAGAAACTTGTTGAATACCACAATGTATGGAATACTGTTGCTGTTGCTGATGTGTTGACTGAGATACCAAACTCTGCCCTAGAGTTCCAGTACTTTGTACTGGAATAGTCATGATTTGAGCTGGCACAGAATTTGGTGCAGCTTCTCCTTTCACTATTTTTAACCACTGTTCAACCAATCGACTAGCTAACACTCTTACACCTTGATGACTCCCTTCTTTAGATAGACCTTTTATTAATTTTGGGCAATTGTTACTTTTTAACCTTTCAATATCTACTGGGCATAACAATAAAAGTTCTAAAAGTTCTTGAATAAGAGCCCAATTTTTTGCAAGAATACCATCAGTAAGCCACATATGAATGAGATTCCAACCTCCAGCACCCATAAATCTAAACAAAAAAAATAATAAATTGTTCAAATTGAAAGCTGTTTCATTATAAAATTTTTACTTTAAGAATATATTAATTTTTTAACAAAATATTTTTTCTTAATTTAAGTTATTTTGTGAGACCTGCATCAATAAAGTATAGGTTATCAGTGAAACCATCCAGTGGTTCAAAGTTCTTATTTTTTTACTCTAGTATATATTTTATATCTCACATGATTATATGAAACATGTGCATACCAGTATGCACGACAAAATTTTAATTTTCATGTAAACATTTAACCAATTGCACTATTTTGTAATGAATATTAGATAATTTGAAGAAAAACAAGTGTATACTCACTGGCTAAGTAAATCGGTATCTGTAGTTTTTAGTATTTGTATGTAAATGCATTTTGAAACAAGTTTCTTTGAAAACTTTGTCATTAAATTAGCCAATCGATGAACTTCCTCTTTACTTTTAATACCTCCAGTTGGCCCCAGTAAAACACTAAGACATTTCAATAAGGATAGAGGATCTATACGTGGCTGAAAAAGCACATGCAAAATATTACACTCCTTAAATTTTTGAAAGATTATGTATATAGGTATAAAAAACTAAATGCAATTGTTAAAATTGACAATTCTACAGAAGTCAACCTTCCATTACTTTCAAAAAAAAAGAAAAAAATAAAAACTTTTCTTCAAACACACATTACTTCACACAAATTTTTAACATAGATTATCATTACTGCATTAATAATAAATTATACGTTACAATAAAATATCATCAAATTAATACATAACAATTCTAACAATATAAAAAAAGGATATTAAATAAGCACGCAAATACAAAAGCGCTAAGATCATTTACCTTCCCCATTTTGTTACTCAATATGAGTATTATTAATACATATTACATTAGTTTCATAAAAGCTCTCATTGTACTACCTAAACGTTCGTACGATCATTAAAAGTTGGCGACGCCAGAAATAGGATACGAGGTCATATGAACGAAGGTTATTGATCCTACCGCTTTCCCCTTCCAATTTACCAATCGTAATTTGTCGTACATGGCGCCCTCTCTCAAGAAATTTACGAAGTAAAAGGAAAATAACTGATTCTAATAAATAACTTGACTTACCATTTTGATGATATTCTTGATGATTTAACGCATATTGAAGTACAAACATAGGATCATGACGTAAATCTGTAATAAAACACAAAGATATTTTTTTTCTTCAATGAGCAAACGTAACGATCTTCTTCAAGGCTAAGCGTACACGTACACCGCCATATTGTTGGAAATTTTCACGAACGTAAAACATAGCTAACGAAATTTCCTATTTACGGGTATATAATTACTTTATAAAAGATTATTACCTACACCTAAATATATTTTCACCGATAATTATTTGCAAATACAAAAGTCTTGAGATACTTTGCTATCCTCATTGCCCTTTCATCGTATTATACAAATCTACCTCACGAATCGGAAATGCCAATTCAAATGATTTCTGTACCGAATATTTTCTATTTGAATTATGTTTTCAATATTTTTTTCATTCCCTGATAAGAGGTAACTTTAAATACTGAAATTAAGCAACAAAATCTACAAATAGGAAAACTATCAATGTGAAATGCAAGCTCCTCGGTCAACGGCGATCACTCGATGGTCAACTGGCGGATCTCCTTCTGCGCAATACTTCCGCGCATATCCCACCCAGAATGGTTACACAACCAACCAATCGCGTTTCGAATCCCCTTTAACGTCGACCAATAATTGTAGCGACCCCATCCCATCACTTGACATCACCGAGTAATTTCTATTTATAGCACACTATGATTGTCCATTTGTGCTACATTAGAATTTTGCCAAAATTGTAAATTTTCTTAAGCTTATCCAACCACTAACACTTTTAATAACGCTTCAATAATATTCAATTATCACTCGTGCAAGTTTAAAATATAACAGATATCTTTCATGCAATTTCTATCATAAATATTCGAAAGTCCCAACAATATGTTATGAACTTGCATCACTAGTACATTATTTCACCTTGCTTTAAGTCTCAAATATTTTTATATTAATTTTCTTCTATTTTTATTATAACCATTATCAACTATGCTTAAAATTGTATGGTAATAATCTAATGAGTAAGAAAACTGTATGAGACTTTACTAGTTGTTTCAAATTAAAAGTTGTTGAAAAAATATACTTCGGCTTTTTTGAACGACAGAAAAGCCACTCACATTTGATTAACAATTAAATCCTTTTTATGGAAAATAAATGTTCACAGCAGTGTATAAGAAATTTAGCATTTCCTATACACAAAAACGATGTGGCCCTATGCTTTGATGAAAATAGGCTACGCATCGGCAAACGCTATAAAATTGTCCAAAATCCGCAAATATCTTCTTGTTGATCTGTCATCTGCAATCAAACATTGTTTAAATTTTACTTTTATTACCTGAATGTTGATTTTCTTGTGATATCTTGTTGAACAATTCCAAAATTTACTTTTAACTGGAGTAAAATTATTCTCACCTAACTACGTAGAAGCTGCTGTTACGCCCGAACCGGAAATGTTCTATTTTCCCTAAGTGAATCAAGCGTAAGATTATTTTGTTCGTCAAATTATATCAAGATCATAAGTAATACAACATAAAATACAAAAAATACTTAATCTAATTAGAGTTAATTATTAAACTGTATATAACATTTATGTCTAATAATGTATTTAATTTACTATTTGACTAGTTTCCGCCACAAAATTATAAGTAGACTTTAGTCAAATCAATCTCTTCTATGAACAAGTTATAATAATAAAAATAAGTAAAAATTTATTTTCTAGCATTAGTAACTGATATTAAATAAATATGCTTTAAATGTTATAAAAGAATTAAGATAAACAAGTACGAAAATATGTAATAAAATTTTATTATAAGATTCAATTAGTAGTTTTATAAATAGCGAAATAATCATCAACGTTTATTACGTTTAAGTGTTTCATGTTCATGTAGAAGAATTCCGGTTTTTGCTTGCATTGCATAAACGTTGGATAGTATCATTTGCAGAATAATTGTCAGAAAAATAATTCTAAGTGTAAAGTAATGCCTTTGATATTAAATAAATTGCAGTTAGCTGCATCACTTTTTCGATCCAATTTAACTCCAAAAGTAAGAATTACTAAGGTAATCATTGTCGACAGTGATGTAATACTTTATAATATTGTTAGGTTATACCGTTGAAATTTTTACATCTTACATTTATACAACATGATGAAGCGCAAGATGAAAAAAGAGCAAATGTAGCAGTTCCTTCTTCAAAAGATAGAACTAAAATTATTCCTGTAGAGATTAGTATGAAATATTTAAAAAGTAAAGGTTTGTACTTACATAATGTAATCTTTATTTTAGTACAATTTTTATCATATTTATATCTTATATTAGCTTATAAAGAAACTTACGGGAACGATCCTGTTTGGAAACAGTATAGGCGAAATTACAAGGGTAATATTTTGCCAAGAAAAACACGAGCAACATGTATTGTATGTATTTTTAAATATACATAAATGTTTTCATCTATACAAGTATCAAAATAATTTTATACATCTTTTAGAGAGGTGGATTAATTGCTACTGGTAGTCCATGTCCAATATGCAGGGATGAATATTTAATTCTTGATTATCATAATATTGATTTATTAAGACAATTTATTTCTCAATATGATGGACAAATTTTACATTATAAGTAAGTTTAATTTTCATAGATACAGAAAAAATATAAATCACTTATGTAATCACTATTCTTTATTTTACTTGCAGTTTCACTGGGCTTTGTCAGAAGGCTTACAAAGATTTATGTGTTGCAATAATAAAAGCAAAAGAATATGGTATACTTACATATGATGTTCCCTTCAGATATTATGATTATGTAGAATGGAAAAATTAATGCATTAAATTTACCTTGTATTTAAACATTTACATTTAAAAAATAAATCATACAATATGGATAAAGAAGAAATAAACTGTACATTTGCAATAGTAGGAGGTGGTATTGCAGGAGTATCCTGTGCAGAAAGTATAGCTTTTCTTGCCCCAGAGGAAGAAATCATCCTTATTAGTGCAAGTCCTTTAATAAAAGCAGTTAGAAATATAATTCCCCTTGGTAAAACATTAATGCAATTTGATATAGAAGAGAAGGAAACAATACTTTTGACAGAAGCATATAATTCATTAAAAATTATTAATGATTCTGTAGTAAGAGTAAATGTTTTAAATAAACAAGTGGAAACTCAAAATGGAAAAATTATAAACTATAAAATGCTATGTCTTTGTAATGGTGCTAGACCAAAACTTATAGCTGAACATAATAACTTTGTACTAGGAATAAGAGATACAGAATCTGTCCTTCAGTTTTCTAACAAAATAAAAAATTCAAAACGAATTATAATAGTTGGAAATGGAGGTATTGCTACTGAAATTGTACATGAAGTGGATGGTGTTGAAATGATATGGGTAATTAAGGATAAACATATTTCTGCAACATTTGTTGATCCTGGAGCTGCAGAATTTTTTATAGATAAAGTATATAAAACTGATACATCTGCAAATACCGATGTAAATGCTCCTACTAAAAGAATGAGGTATGTAGTATCCGACCTTGCACCTGTAAAAGGTGGAGCAGCTTTAGGTCCAGATTGGCATAACAGTTTTGATGTAAAAGGTGATTTTCTTAAATGTGCTAAAGTACAAGTGGAATATGAATGTGAAATACTTAAAATTCTTAATGAATTAGAAGAAAAAGAATTTGATCCTATGCAAGAGTGGTCTACATATGTTGAATTAACAAATGGGAAAATTATTGGTTGTGATTTTATTGTATCAGCAACAGGTGTAATACCAAATTCCAATATAACAGGTTTAGAAGATCTAAAAAAAGGAGAAGATGGAGGACTGCTAGTAGATTGGAAACTGGAAACTTCAGAACAAGATATTTATGCTGCTGGAGATGTATGCAGTGCTGGTTGGGAATTAGCAAAACATTGGTTTCAAATGAGATTGTGGACTCAAGCATATCAGATGGGACGATATGTAGCAAAATCAATGGTGTCTAAATTAAGAAATGAAGAATTCCTACAAGACTTTTGTTTTGAACTTTTTACTCATGTAACTAAGTTTTTTGGTTACAAAGTGGTTTTACTTGGTTTGTGTAATGGACAAAAATTAGAAAACAATTATGAGATATTGTTACGAATGACTAAAGGACAAGAATATATAAAACTTATACTAAAAGATGGCAGAATGCAAGGAGCAGTATTGATTGGAGATACTGATTTGGAAGAAATGTGTGAGAATTTAATACTTAATCAATTGGATTTAAGTATTTATGGGGAAGACTTATTAAATCCTGATATTGATATCGAGGATTATTTTGATTAATTGTATATAAAAGTTAAATTTAACAAAACATAGTACATTGTATTAGTTTAGTACTAATAATCAAATATACTTTATTCAGTATAAAACGCTTATTTAAGTTGTGTTTTTGAATAATATTATTATAATTTTACAGATCTTGTTTAAATTTAAGTGACGTTTATATAGTAGTATTTTACGTAGATATACATATACAAATATCACATAACACCTTATGAGTAATAAGAAATAAAATGGTACAATTACTTATAAGTGTAACTAAACATATTTCTTTGCTCCATTTTAAGTCTCTTTCTAAGTAACTATCTTATTTAATTACGTAGTATTTTTACTACGTTAACTCATTTTTTAATTTACCTGTAAATCTTACACTTTTCTTATCCAAACCTTTAGCATTATTACGTAACGTAGATTTTGTTGGTGAAGCAAATTTTATATTGCAATTTCCAGGAAATGTATTTATATTGTCAGAGTTTTCACTTACAGTACTACTGTGATTCAGAGTAGAAGTCACGCTTTCATTTGTGTATTTACTTAAGTCTTTCACTTCTAAACTATCACGCAAACTATTAATGATGGTTTGCATACTATTAAGGGATTCTGTGAGTGTTTGTATTCCACTATTTCTACCGCATAATTTGCGTAAAGTTTTTGTAGCAAGTTCTATTTGAATAAGGCAAGTATTTATAGTTTCTTGATCCTTAGAAATATCAAGCGTTTGATTAAACGTGCTTCCAAGTACAGAAGTATCTAATGTAAGCTGTTGTAAACTTTCATTTAAATGTTTTTTCACTGGTGTCATATTTATCGAAATTCGACTACTATTTAAGGAATCCTCGAAAGTTTCCGTATTTTCATAGGGTTCCCAAACCTCATCTGTTGTGCATAACTCTTTTATTGAATCTTCTATATCGTAATCTCGTAAACGATGAACCCAATCTAAAAATCGCATTGGTTGCCATAGTGTTTCTTTCATGCTGTCTTTGTTACGTATACGAATTACTGGTTGCAAAGTTTTATTAACAATTACTTGCTGTTGATCAAATTCCTAAAATGTAACAATTAATTACACAATTATATAAAAGATATATGTTTTAGAGCATGATTTATATGAAAGGTACATACATAATTAATGCCGACTTCTCTACATCGTTCGGTAGCTTCTTTTACCAAAAGTTGCATTTCATGTAAACTAATACCACCACCACTTATTGCATCTTTGCTAGCTTTCATTTTGAGAGCGAATTCCGCATCTGCTGTCTGCTCGTTTAAAATATTTTCCAGTTCTTGTAAAAAATTAGATTTATACGGCGCAACATTAATTTTCTTTTGGTCCAATTGTATTTGCTTTAATTTATTATTGGTTTCAACTTCATTTTCAAGCAATTCTTTTTCCAGTTCTAATTCTTTCTTCTTTTGACAAATTTGTTCTAATGCGACTTTTTGTTCCTCAACCGTAAAACCAAGAATTTCAATTTTGCGTTCATACGATAATTTTTGAGATCCTAATTGCATCTCAACTTCTCGCTTCGCATTTTCTAATTCTTTTACTGCTTTCTGTTTACTTTCTTCCAGTTCTGCTCTTAATCTATGTTAAATAAAAACTAATATTAAGTACATTTTATCGTGAACATTCGTCGAATGAAGAAAATTATTGCAAATACATACTTCCCTTCTTGTACTTTCAGGATTTCTTGATAAGCAAATTCGTAGTCTATAGCTTGCGTTGAAATTTGTATGTTACTATGCTCATCGTGCGGATTTGAGACTTTAAAATAATGATTGCCACCAATTACTAATCGATCACCATGTTTCAAAGTAACTTTCCCAGTTACCACCTATAATATGATAAATCATTTTTTTTTTTAAGTAATAATAAAAACAAAATAATAACATAAATATCAAATATATCGTATACCTCTCCATTAACGTACGTATCTCCCTCCATTTCTGACGACAACATAAGTTTTCCATTATTGTTTTCAATAGTACTGTTAAATACATAAAAAGAAAAACATAAATTAGACAGATATATCAGCGAAAATAATTCTAGTTATATCTTGCATATCTGTTTATCAAAACGTAAGCGTTTTTAAGTATGATGGAAGTGCAACATATCGAATCGTGACGATCGATTAGCGAACAACCACATCATACACCTAAAATTAAATCACACAGGAAATCGTCATGCAGATTCTTAAAACAACAATATTGGATTAATGAAAACGTTACTCTTGACAATATGAGAAAAGCAGGGCAATGAACATGCATCGGTAAGAAATAGGTAATGGTGGTAAACAGAGATGGACAGAGGATAACATTTTCCTGCACCGCAATCGACAAAGCAGCAAGCTGTAAATCAACCAGGCAATGGAGAAGAAGATGAACAGAAGTGAAAAAAACGTGGATAAGTCCATGGAACGTATCATCCCTTCAAACCACCGAAGTGCAAACGACCCATAAACTAACCAGTGTAAAGGCCTAACCAGCGGTCCATCCAACATGATATCCAAATGTTCGGAAGAGTTGTGACAACCGGAATTTTTTCCAATTCGAACCAATCCCGGAGGAATGATATACAAAAGCGTACCGGACAACATTGGATCGGCCGCGAGATTTATAAGACACGGTTGTTTATCCTTCTCGTGAAAATCGAGCTCGATAGCGATACCACAGCGACGTAAGTATTTCAACTCAGAATTCTTCTTCTCCTCGGTATCCCGTAATTTCGTTTGCCAGGTCCTGAAATTTACAACAGCTGAATATTTTTCAATCTTCACGTTTGGTGAACAGCGCTTATCCTTCGATCCGTTTCCAGAAAAATCTACTAATCTAATTTCTTCGTAAAATAATCATTATAATTGTGAATCATAGAAAATCGTGGAACGTTTCGAATGGAAACTTACATTTGAGTTGTCGCTAATTGTTCCTCGGTTTTTTTCAATTGATCCTTCAGCTTATCGATTTCTTCCTGTTTCTGCTTAATTTTAACGTTACTTTCGTTAACCGGTCCGATAGAATCGAGAAGACACCGCGGAGATATGCCAAGTTTCTTCTCGTATCCTTCGCGAACGCAACGCAACCGCAGCACTTCCGCTTTCAATTCTCTGATAGAAAAATCATAATTACCCTTAACGTTAAAATTCACAGGTTAAAGCTTGTTAAAAATTAAAGTTGCACTCGTAATATGCACGATAGTGTGTTTCTTTTGTTTCCCTATCTCAAACTGTGAGAACGTAAATTTGCTTGGAAACATTTGAATTTCATTTAATGAAGAAAGTGGAAACGTGAAATAACACGGGAGTTTTATCGTGTTCGTACAAATCAACGTTCTTCGTTTGTACAAAACCATTATACAACCATTACCGAATTAATTTCTCGTGTGGATCTTCATTGATTCGAATACGATTAACGATAGCTCGAGCTTGACAAGCGTATCGAAGTGTTGCAAGCGTCTCCTCTAAGTGTATATTGGCTGGTGACACTGTTCCAAGCATTGCAGTTCTTGAATTTCCTCCGAGACTTTCCTAATGGATTAAAAGAAAAGAAATAAGAAAATGAAGTAATACATTTTTTTCTTCTTTTAATTCAAATACAGAAAAATCTGGAGTTGTTGAAGTGTATACATAATTAATTACACAAAATGTGCATGTCAAATTACATCGAAATATCTTCATTAACATTATCTTTATTTATATGATAACACGTGACGTGCGTGGTTAGTTTCGCATTTTAGATTTCACGAGGTTTTATCTAACTTATAATCTAGATTTTTTAGTATCTTGTGTGATAAGATAATGTTGGTCCGAAAAAGAACGATCACAAGTTTAATCTTGTACGAATGATGTACTCGTTCTGTTATCGATCACACCTTGACGTATATTTCTTAAACGTTATCCTGATATAATTAATAAACCCATAAGACATCAAATAGAACATGAAATTCCTTGCTAAATTATGTAAAGAGAGGTATGTAAAGTAGAGGTTTACAGGTAAAGTCAACGTTCAACATTGGAAAAAACCTTCTTCACCTTTGCCTTCGCTTCATTTTTTTCTTCCTTGTCTAACAGAATTCTCGATTATCTCCGAACGCGTTAAAAATCAACAGATCTCAACGCGATATTTCATTACCATTAAGGACAGAACTTGTTGAAACAATAAAACGATAAAATTTCAAATACTTCGCAATCCCTAATCGTTGGAGTGCGTGCTTTCGAAAATCTTCTTCTAAAGCACTTTTTCTCTCTTTTCTTCTTTTATTTTTTTTTTTTTTTAATCGTACCCGGTTATTGATTGAGACACTTGAACTGTACTCCACGGGAGATTTTAATCCGGATATAATCATCAATTGATTCCGGCGACAAAGAAAACGTACGAGATAAGATATCGAAATCAGGGTATCATGAATAATTCATCTGTTTTTTTTTTATTTATGTTTTATTAAGTTCGAAAAAAATTAATTGCTTCTTTTTAAGTACGTTATGTATTTTTGCACACGGTCCAATGTAACGTTTGCGTTTTTATTACACTTTATAATCCTACTGGTGTTGTTATCAGTTAACCGAGCTTATATTTATTTTCTTTTTCCCTCCATAGTTAAGGTTATTTGAAAACAAAAAAAAATGCCCGTGATATACGATTGCTTCGTACAGAAATACCACGTGCTCGTACATAATGTATCCGTTCCATTCGATTACATAACAAATCTCGCTGTAAAATATAACATATCATCTGGTGATTATTAAACTATTTAGTACTTGCAAAATATCAATATTACGGCAAGCTTTGGGCTGTCTCTGAAAT